TTCGCGGAACACCGGCAGTATCAAATCAGCTACTGTAAACACCAGTACATCCGATTATAAAATAAAACCCTCTAGTCTAGTTTTTCATTGCTTTGGGTGAATAAATAAATAAATAATATGGCATGGCATGTGTACTCCCAGTTTTCCTATCCTAGGCTACACAATGATTGTGAAGGAAATACAAACATAGCCCTCTGTACCTTGTAAAAGTGCTTCATAGCAACCTGGGTCATATTAACATTATATACCGTTTCTGAATTTCAAAAGGACAATAAAGTAGACAAGAAGTCACATTTAAACGAGCATTTATCAGTTATTGGACTGGATGTGCCTTTATTATTAATTATTTTTAAAAATAAATCTTTTGGAGAGTTTCTAAAACACCTTTAAAACAATGGTGAATATTTTAAATGGCTGTATGCGTTTATTCAAACCAGTTATTGTGCATTCAGATAGATCTGTGATCCTAATATCACACATTTTACGGACGCGAATAGTTGGAAAATTGTAACCTTCTTTAAATGTCTTTTTCTGTATGAAATACCCTTTCTGTGTCACTTTGCTGACATCTGGTGGAAAGGTTATGCAATTACCGTTTCAAGACATCAGCTTCAACCTGATTGATGTTGACCAGAAATCAAACAAATACATAAAAGGGGGAAAGGGAAAAGGCAGTTTAAAAATATAATAACATAAGCTGTTTTTACGACCACAGAGCGTGTTTACAAAATGATCGGTAGTGAAAAAAACTTTAGATCTTTAAAACACCAAACTTCTGTAATATTTACTGAGATACCGTTTCCGCTGCACTCTCATGACATCTGCTGTAGAAATTGTGCAATTACTATAAATTTCAAGCGGCTTAATGCTGGGAAAAAAGCCGAAAAATGAGCAGAAAGGGGAACATAAAATACCTACTAAAGTAAGTTGTTTTTACTTTCATAATTTTTTACTTTTCTAAACAACCTAAGGTAGATTATAGTCTTTAAAAACAAACAAATAAACCAAACCAAAAGAAGGTTACAGGGATATTTTAAACTAGAATTACCCTTTAGATCCCATTGTATAGTTCCACCAAGCAGTTAGGACTTCTCTAGACCTGATCTTTGGGATATAAAATGTCATTGTTTCGTCATTTCTATCGTCATTTTATCCTTTCGGATATTTGTGTGATATTTCCTCCTAAATCTGAATTCTAGGCTATTGGGTAAAAATATCTTCAGTCTTGCTATGCAGTGCTGTGAAAAAGTATCCTGTCCCTTATGTTTCAAATCATAAAACTAATTTTAATATTGGATAAAGACAACATGAGTAAATACAAAATGTATTTTTAAATGATTATTTGATTCATTAAGAGAAAAATGCTATCTAAACCTACCTGTGAGAAAAAGTGATTTCGCCCTGACCCTTATAATTGGTTGTGCCACCTTTGCCAACAAGAATCAGATTTGTTAAATGACAAATTAAGTGTGTTTTATCACACTTTTTCTAAAGCTGATTTCAATTTCATGAGCTACACTCAGCCCTGATTACTGCCAGACCTGCTAAACAACAGTAAAATAAAATAAAAAAGGACCCGTTTGAGAGAATGAAGTAGGCTAAAAGATCTTAAAAAGCAACGAATCAGGCCGTGATCTAAAGAAACTCAAGAAAAGATGAGAAATAAAGTCACAGGGTTACAAAGACCTTTTTAAGGCTTTGGTGCTCAAGCGAACCCCGGCAACAGCCACAAACTGGTGTAAATCTAACAAGATTTCATAAATAAATTCATAACGTTGATGATATGAAACATTTAGATTTGTGACAAATATGCAAAACTAATTATATAGAGCTCACTAAAAATGGGATAGCCATGTGGTCACAGCAACCTTCACATCTGACCTCAAAACACCAAAATTGAATCATTTCATCACTGAGTACAAATGAACCCTGGTCCCTGCCTCTTCATCCTTTACTTGGGAAGAATTGTATATATTTTTTATATATATATTTTCAGCAGTCAGGAATCACTGCAAGTACATGATACACTAATTGCATGTGGATATATTTCAGTTAAATGCACAGGGAGATCTTAATGATTTTAGCCACGAACACTCATAAACAAAATTAAGACTCATCGCGTTGTACTCAAAGCTGGTTTATTCAATTTACGATTAGACCCTGAAGTTTGCGTACACATACATACACACACACACACACAAACAAAATTAAGCACCACTCTCTGTGCCTGTACAGTGCAACATGCTGAAACAAACACACAAAACATATTAATGACACGGCATATATCCAATCCACACAGAAAGTCATCGTTAGTCGGTACAAACATGTATTGTTTGGATTGTTTGCTATGGTGAAAGTAATTACCTGAATTCATTAATCAGAGAGCAGCACAGCTTCCCGAATCACAATAGGAATGACGACTTTATTGGATTAGTTGGATTAGATATACAGGGAGTATGAATTAATGGCCCATTAGAAAATACAAAAAATAGTGGTCCTATGTATTGCTGGACAGAACTAGAAAAAGTATATAAAAATGGCACACAGTTTAAACATAAAACAGAATAAGACAACAATCTGTTATTTTACAACTTATTTACAGAAGCCATGGTCTCAAGGTAGTCTCGTCTCTGTAGACTTCTAAAGCTTCACTAGCGGGCGTGTTTGTGTGTGTGTGAGACTGCAAATAAATTATACTGCTCCACAAACTCCTGCTGTGTGCTGCCAGTGCTGGCTCTGTGCTTCACGAATATCACGCATGGAGCACACTACATAGAAAATAACGACGCATGAGCTATCGCGTTCACATCTTTTATCTTTGGAGACTCAAATATAAGATGTCAAAATTAGTACACATCTCCATTTCAAAGGCAGAGAGAGAGATCTCGACTGAATTTAAACTTTCTTTTTTACGTTATTGGGAAACAACTTTTTTTTGTGTGGTTTTTTTTATATGTTTAAAAGAGCGTGTGAGGGTATCAAAGGACATAACAGATTAAGAGCTTGTTAAGTTTGACAGCACTTCTTGGAAACGTCTAGCACGTTCTCCAAGAAAGGAGAGAAATGTCATGAATGAGCTAAAAGAACAGAGAGAAGATTACAGATATTGTTCCAATATCATTAGACTCCACACGCTGGAGTCCTGACTAACGTGAAGCCACACAGTTTCCTCTGCGAGTCTTCTATCAGCTGCATGTTGCTGTCTTGTAGATGGTATGCGATGCTGCTTCTCTCCTTGGGCAAACAGGGAAGTCTATGCTTGGAAGTCATTTCCAAAGTGTCTCCTCTGTTCTTCGGTCATGGACAGGTAGGTGGCCCTCATAGTGGGAGAGTACTATAGACAAAACACCAACACAGAGACATATATAGAGAATATTACAAGTCTGTTGCATTAGATTGTGGTGATGTAAACATGTAAAACTCATTTGTAATGGAAGAACGTAGGGAAAATGGGCTTAAAGGAACAGTCCACTGAATATCTATCTTTATGTATCAAATTCACTCTACTGTGGCACTGACATGAGAAATGTTTGAGGCTCCGACTCCCCTAGTGGGACATAAAGCAGGGAAAGCATGGGTGATCAGGTTAAAAAAACAGGTGAAGTGAAACTACAGAAGAATGAATATATAGTACATGTTTATAGTATAGCTACACGCTAGACAGTTTATTAGTTACACCTATCTAGTTCTGGGTTGGAGAACCTTTTGCTTTCAGACCGGCTGTAATTTCTGCTTTAATAGGAGGGTTCATAATTTTTTCAAATCACCTTTCTTCCCCCATTCTGATGCTCAGTTTGAACTTCAGCAGGTCATCTTGACTATTTTTACATGCCTAAATATCGTGGTTTGCTGCCATGTGATTGGATGACTAGGTATTTGTGTTAAAGAGCCGTGGAATAGGTGAGTGTATTGCTGGCGAACGTATGCGTATATAAAGACTACTGGCTAGTATATCAACAAAAATTCTGTGTTGGAGAGCGTGCAAACGTAAAAGTTTGCACGCTCTCCAACACAGAATTTTTGTCAGATTTCATGCCAGATGCCAGATTTCATTCCTACAGTGGTTGAATATTAGTTTCTAAGACAAAGTTTCAGTGGAGTATTCATTTAAATCATAAATAACAGACCATGGCAGGGTAAAATATTTTAGATATCACCTATAGTTTGTTTTAAAAGGTCAATCCTTTATTCATTAAATACACGCATAGCATAAAGTATGTGAAACACTTTCCAGGTAAAATCCATTTTATTGCAGTGCACAGAATCGCTACTGCTAATACTTTTGTGTCAGTGCTAGGTGTAAAACGAAATGACCGGAGAAAGACTGCATGCACATAGGAGCTGACTGTGAAAGTACCCAGAGACGCAACTACCGTACCACCCTGTGAACACCAGGGGCTGAAATACCCTTGCTAAGTGAACCTATCTGCGACGGGGACAATAGGTTGCAGATTAAAAGTCATGCTAAACAGGAGAACTGCACAGGAGACGAGATAATGTGAGGTGAAGGAGAAATGATAGTTAATGGAACAGAGGGACAAGTGAGGGACTTTATTCCTGACAGAGAGAGAAGAAAAGACTTACTCGATTTCTATACTGCTG